TGTTACTTATTCATCTACTTTATATTTCATTTGTATTTTGTGGCATTCATGTGGACGGCAAAGTAAGAATTTCATTGTACAGGGAAACACGTTTCCTAACTGTGCATATGACAAATAAACACTTTGACTTTGAAAAAGGATATATGGTAGAAGAGCCTGCGAACACCACGGCTTTCTCAACTTTGGCCTGGGTTGTGTCTAATGCATCATGTGGATACTGGTGTTTAGTGACTAATCAGACTGTGGAGGACACTGCATGAAGTCAACTCTACGGACAGTGTCCACGAAGAAAACCACTACTCACGATCAGGGTCTGACAGACAACACGAAAAGAAGCCCGATGAGCACTGGCTGCGCTTTCTTTGGTCAGATGAAACCAAAATAGTTTGAAGCAAATGGGTCCTGCATGTTTGACATGGACCGGCCCTGGACCAGCAGGGACTGCACAGTGCAGACTGTGACATGGAGGTGGGAGTGTGCAGATGTGGGGCTGCATGAGCACAAGACGTGTAGAGGAGAGGACATTTACAGAGGACGTTGTGAGTACAAGTTTGTACCCAAATAGTGAACGAAAAGACGAATCCAAGAGTCAAGATGCTTGGTGGGAGAGGAATTTTCCAACATGACAGCATGATCCCAAACACACTGCAAAAATCAGACAAGTTTTCAAAGAAGACAAAAGTGAGGAGCTAATCGGCTGCTATCTGAAGCCATGTAGCTAAATTAAAACACAGATCTTCTCAGAAAACTATCTGAGAGAAAGCAAATATGCTTATTTCCTAAAACTCATACTTTTGCTTTGGTCTATTGAATCAGCACAGAGTGGTCTTAGACTACAATATTACTGTCTTAAATCTAATAGAACATCACAGGAATATTGTGAAGTGGAGGGAAGAGCAAAAAAAAAACAACCCTCCAGCAAAAAGCAGCAGAACAGAATCAAGAATGGCAAAACATGTCTCCATTTGTGCAAGACTAGTATCATCTACGTCCAGGGGATTAAATCTGTCACTGAAAATACAAAGACAATGTTTTTTTTTTTTTAATAACAGTGGAATCTTTGGTTACAGTTCATTTGTAAATGTGGACATTGTTGTTTTCCAAATTAATTTGCTCCGTTTTCTTGGGCTTTAGCTATTATCTAATAAAATGGACAGGATTGGTAATGACTTAATGTTTTACCGATATTGACCAGGGGACTACTTTTGTTGAATACTGTCAGTTGGCCAGCATGGTTTACTGTCCCTGTAACATCTTGGCAGGACCACTGGCTGCCTCCGCTGCTATGTGGCAAATCACTAAATGACATAGAGTCAAGGAGACCGTAAAACAGAGAGATCTGGCCAATCGGTTGGGGAAAAAAGCAATTCCTTTAAATATAGTTGCTTCCAAATGGGTGTCATCTCAACACAAATGAATATCCAGTGATGTGGGCTATTTGAAGCCCTGTAGAACTTATTACATCATTTTCACCACAAACGACTTGTTCTGACAAGTGGGTATCAGTTTCCCTTTTGTTGCAAATCTCATTCCGTTGTAAACGGTCTATAAGGATCCGACTAGAGATGCTAGGAGCATAATCTATGTGCAAGCATCGTCATCAGCATTGCTACAGCGCATAGCATCCATGTTGATTTGCTTCCTGGCCTGTTGTAGACGCAAAACAGGGACCGTCAGCAGTCATTTTCAAGGACAAGGGCCAGTAGGTTGGGCTGAAATAAATGATCGAAACGCCCGGCATCACTCACCTTTCAGTCGGCTCCGATGCGCAGCAAAACTAGCGATGGCAGCAGGTTATAATTTCAGACGGTTTCGCGTCACTATGGCCGCATTTCGCACGTACCCGGACCCTCTGTGGCCCCCACTACACAACCATGGACAGCTGCAGCAGTTCGGTGACTCCGCCCACAACGTGCGCGCGCGTGCACAACGCGAAAGGATGCTGCTGCCTACGTTCTTGCTATGGCACAGTCAAGCCCAGCAAAAGGCTAAACGCTGCTTTTACAGTCACAGACACTGTAACTTTTGTAGCTCAAGGCTTATTTGTGAACACTCAGCAGTGATTTCTTAGATTAGAACAAAACGTTTTGGGAAAGAAGCTCAATACCTTCCGAATTGTAAGCTCTCTGTTAATTGCATGACTTAAGCCAGTAGCTATTTATCTTAGCACATACACTGGAAACACCTAGATCCAGAATATAGGCCTGCTCCTTATTAGCACATTGTTTATGCCTTTTATGTGCAGTCTATGAAAAATACTGTTTTAATTTTGATGCTTTTGGATGCACATTACATTTCACTGTACGTCCTATGGTGTGTCAGATATAAATCCACTGGATGGATCGGCATTAGTTTTCCAAGACATTCTCTCATTTGGCATTTTAATGATGGTGATGGAAACCCCTGTTTAACACTTTGGTCCAAAATCTGGGTCAAAACTCATTTGAGCGCCACACCAGTCACACCAGGACACGGCCACTTCATTGCACTAGTGGTCCATCCATGGGTGCACCCATCTGCAGTCCTGCAACAGATGGTGTGGACCCCATAGAGCCCTGATCTCAGCATCAAGGAGTTAGTGTGGGATTACAAGAATAGACTGAAGACACCGAGGCAGCCTAAATGCACAGGAAAACTGTGGTATGTTCTGCAAAGGGCTTGGAAAATCCTACCTGCCTTGAAAACTGTACACAAGTACTGTAACTAGTATCCTGCTGTTTTAAAGGCAAAGAGTGGCCATGCCAAGTATTAGTTAGATTTAGGCTTTTTATATTTTATGCACTTTATATAAAGTTTACTGATAAATTAAAATAATAGTAAATCAATAGCATAGCTTTTGTAAGCATCCTCTCTTTAATGCTAGTGCCTGAAACTTCTGCACATGAGAACACGCTACTGTATATCAAACAGCACATTCTCACAACAGATCAGATTTTATTGTTGTAAGGAGGCATCTGCATCAGTTTCTCCACCATTTTATTCAGTTTGCTTTAATACACTGTATGTTGGTTAACTACAGATCGGACCTTACTGTTCCCCAACTGTGCCTCGGCAACCGTGACGTCACTGTCCTCACCAATCGAAGAGCTCGCAGGCCTGGCGTTCCTATCGCGAGGTTATCACATTAGCTTGGTCGGTTAGCTAGCCACGAAAAGCTTGATTGTGTAGCCGCATTTTACAGGTTTTTCATTTTTCACAGAGCACCGGAAAGACGGCCCATTGTTGTTTGATTACTGTCTTGTCACGCCTGTAAGAAAGGATAATCGCCGGTACCTTGTGTTTGGACGGTAAGTTGTGTAAACGCAAACAGTCTGCTAACTAGCAAGGACTGTTGCCCAAGAGGAAATGGGTTTGTTTTGAATACCTCGGAGAATTTCTGAATTATTTATATTGACACTAGAAAGAAGTTAAATGCAGTATCGAGCAGAAATATTGTGTCATTTGATTTGTTACGGATGTATGTCTGCTGCATATGTATGTAGAAATTTGCGTTCAGTTGTTAATATCTGTGTACGGTTGTGACATTACTCTTCATGTAGGTACAAAGTGCGACCAAGCTGTGTCAGTCTTGTTCACGTTTTGCTCTATTTTCAGTGGATTTGTTATTTTTCAGGACTCCAATAATGAGTTATGCTGAAAAGCCAGAAGATATCACAAAAGAAGAGTGGATGGACAAATTAAACAATGTTCATATACAGAGGGCGGACATGAATCGCCTCATCATGAACTACCTGGTGACAGGTGAGGCATGTAACATGTGAGCTGAATATACAGCTTGTATAAGTCAGAACACGTCCTTCTTACTTGGGCTGCGACTAGGCTTAACGATTGTTTACATCCTCTGCTATGCCTTTTCTCGAATGAATCCTTCTGAATGAACTATTTTATCTCTAAAGTGCCAGAAAACGGTGAAAAATCTAACTTGAAGCCCAAGGCAGTGTGATCAAATTGCCCATTTGACAAACAAATGCAGCAAATCCTCACAAATGACAAGCTGGAAGTGGGGCGTGTCTGATATTTTTACTGTAAAATAATGACTTTTCTGATTATCACATTAGCAAACTAACTATTGCAGCTTTATTCTCAACTACCCTCTTTGTTTGCCTGTGGCTGTTTTGCACGTTTCAAGAGGGATTCAAAGAAGCGGCAGAGAAATTTCGGATGGAGTCTGGTATCGAGCCAAGTGTGGACCTGGACTCTCTGGATGAAAGGATAAAGATTAGAGAGATGATCCTGAAGGGACAGATACAGGAAGCCATTGCACTCATCAACAGCCTACACCCAGAGCTGCTGGACACCAATCGATACTTGTATTTTCATCTGCAGGTACATTTGTACAGTGCTTTGTAATCACCATCAGTAGTTCTGACTGTATTATCTGACTCTAAGAAAGTAGTTGGTGCCAAACATCATGTTAGTGCTAGGAAAAAGGGAAACGTTTGATAAAGGCTGAATGTTAAGTATTGCATACTTTATTGTCTTTGCAGCAGCAACATTTGATTGAGTTAATCAGGCTAAGGGAGACTGAGTCAGCACTGGAGTTTGCGCAGACACAGCTGGCCGAGCAGGGGGAGGAGAGCCGAGAGTGTCTGACAGAGATGGAGAGAACACTAGCCCTTCTGGCCTTTGACAACCCAGAAGAGTCGCCCTTTGGAGACCTGCTCAACATGATGCAGCGGCAAAAGGTCAGACTGAATTGTTATATAGTTTCGCTTCAGTATTTGAGTCTCGAAGGAAGTTTGAGATATCCAGTGATTTTTGTGTTTTCACACCTGTGGTTTGGTTCATTATGTTCAAACCAACGATATGATATGAAATGTTGTCTTTTCTTTCTGTAATATTACAGCACAGAATGCCTTTTTTTTTCTTTCTTTACTTAGTGGCCACTTTATTAGGTACACCTCTATAATTTATTGCAATTCACTGTAACAAACCTGCTATATTTTAAGTTTATTGTTGTGTAAAAAATTATATTCATTAAATTATGAATTTGTTTACATTTACAAAGTGCAATTAAGTTGGATAGTGAAAACATTAAAAACCTTTTCTTTGTACTAGGGCTGCATGATAAAACATTTTGTGAGTGTGATTTAGATCTCTGTGTGATCACGTTCTTGTGTGACAATGATTGTGCCATGTTTGTTTTAACAGGGTGATGCCTTGCATCAAACCAAGGTGTTCCCTTTTCCCCGCTAAGCTGTGTTAATTGTTACATCACATGACGAGCTGTAGACAGGAAGAGAAGACTAGTTCAGAAACAAATCCATGTTTGACATTGTGAAAGATATTCTGTGCTGTCCTGCAGCTATTTTCAAATGTTGCACTGCTTGCCCTAGTGCCGAATAGCAGTTGAGGCAGAAATAAATCACTTTGCAGGTTTTAGTTAAGTTATTGGTTAACATGGGTTAGTGAGGAAAAGGGAGCACTTGGTTTAGTGCAAGGGATCTCACTGCTAATGCAGACATGGCAGAATCATTGTCACGAGACTGAGATAGCACAAGGATCTAAATCATGCTCACAGAACGATTTGTCGTGCAGCCCTACTGTGTACTTTTTCAGTTAAACAATGGCTTAAGCGATTTAACAAATCACAAGTTTTTGTTTCTATTGCATTTTGGAAAATGTCCCAACTTTTCTGGAAATAGGGTTTGTATATGTTTATTATTGAGGTCATAGTTAAAGGTGGTGTTATAATGGGCTACACTGTATTAATAATATGTGTTTTTTTACTTTATGTCCTCCCCTATTAATAGACATGAGGGATCATAACTATAATGCAGTCTGGCACATCAACACCGCTATGACCTCAGTGCTAAAACATTCAGTTTAATTAATACCTCTTTGGCAGTGCCAAGAAAAACTGAGCATTACAGACATCATCGAAGAAGCCCTTATGGCAGCACAGTTGGTTTGGTTTGTGTGAGATTGTATAGGTCTGCCTAGTAAACTGACCACTGGCTGCCTCTGAGAGTCAGTGCTTTTTGTCTCTGGTCTGTAAACACCATGTTATTTGGACTGCCATGAGGAGATCCCAGATGTATTTAAACTTTGTTGTTTATGCTGAACTGACAATCTACCAGCATAAGAAGTGGCAGTTATTTTATTTTATTATTATAAAATGTATTAGTCTGCACAGTGCCCTAGAGATCACTTGAAATTTACCAACTTAAACACAAGCCTAACTGAACCAAACAGACACACCTGAGTTTGTCGGAACAAACTTTTCATGTGAAAGCATCCTTGAAGGTCTGGAACCAGATTATCTTGCTTGTTGTGAGAGAGATATGGGAGGCTGCATGCAGGAAGTAAATGTGCAAGAAATGTTTATTTCATTCTGACTACAACACACATCTTGATACACAGGTGTGGAGCGAGGTGAACCAGGCTGTGCTGGACTATGAAAACAGGGAGTCGACGCCCAAACTGGCGAAACTGTTGAAGCTTCTGCTTTGGGCACAGAATGAGCTGGATCAGAAGAAGGTGAAATATCCCAAAATGACTGACCTTAGCACGGGCACTATTGAGGACCCCAAGTGAACATAACGGACAAGAACACCCACATTCTCCCTTAATTTATGAGTCAGTGACTGTGTGACAGCCAGGTAACATATATGTATAAACAAATGCTACATTACATGTGTCATTCATGAGAAGTAAGGCTTTACTCATTGTGCAAACTGTAAATTGCTGTATTTGCAAAGTGACAAATTATTTAGTTTAATGATCCTGGATTTTCGATCAATCTTGGAGACAACACAGTTCAAACTGCTGTTTTATATTTTGTCTTTCTAAAGCCTTTCTAGAGTATTATTTATTGTGACCACTTTTCCTTAGCAAGGCATTTTGTTAGAAAGGTGATAGTGTGAATGGACAGTGTTAATAGTGTGGTGTGTGGAGGCAACTTTAAGGATGGAGAGGTCCTGTCGTGGTTCAGACTTTGCAACAGCGGACACACTATTATCCTTAATGAAGATGTGTTAAGATTGAGATGACACACTGCAACAGAGTGTCAAATCAGAGGTTTAAATCAAATTCTTTTGCAAAATCTATTTTTCAATGAAATGGAAAGATACAGTTATTAATGTGGTATCATTGTAATATATATTTAACAGTTTTATTTAGTATGATATTTGGTGATTTGCTATAGAATCAACCACTTTCTACACCTTGAAATGTTGTTGTACCTCTGCAGTATGTCTGTGGGATGAACTGCCTCATAAAAATGATCATTTCACACGTGTGTTTGAGAAGGTGTGAGACAAGTTCTGACAGAAATCAGGGCAGGCCTTCATACTGAGAAGACCACCCCAGGGTTGTTCTGAGCCTATGGTATGCAGCCGCCCCAACATGTTCCAGATGGATGCTAATGTTGTGTTTTCTCTTATGATAATTCAGACCGGATTGACATGCTACTTGCCCTACTTTAAAGTCTCACATTTAAAATCCATTCAAACTGATTCTGATTCATTGGCTGTTTTGATAAAGTTTAAAAGCATTGCAATTTTAAATCTGAACTGACCGGTCCTAGGACTTGCTGTCCATTTTGCAGCTTCTGAAGCCGTTTAAACTGCATGCATCTTTTTTCAGTGAGGGCACTTGTGCCTTTTGTTTTTACTTTTATTTACAAACAAAACACATTTGCTGCTAGTTGTCCATCCTTAATTTCTTTTAATGTTGTATTGTCTTTAGAGAAATTGTCCTGAAAAATACTGAGTCCCAGAGAGCTCACACCTCTTTTATTATTCAACATTTTTAAGATCAGATTTGCAATTATTAAAATAAAACTTTTGTGAACCATACAAGAGAAGCCTGTGTGTGTGTGTGTGTATATATACAAATTTAAAGGAAATATACACAAGGGTATTTAAAGTTGTTTCAAGCTTTTGAATATACATACAAAAATTGAGGATGGTTCTGAAATAAAACAAATACTTCTCTGCCCTTTGTAGGTGCATTATGTAAATGTTACATTTAAATGTTACATCCATTGAAGCCACCATCTGTAACTCTGCTGTCAGTCTTGCAAATCGTATTCAAGTGCTTTTGAGTTTTATTCCAACAAGTTATACCTGTTTGCCCAGTCTGCATGAGGATAAGAAGCAGAGGCAACAGGACACCAGTGTTTTCTGAATGGCTGACAAGCACAGATCAGGAGATGGCTGCGGTGGTTCTCCATCGGATCTTCAGGTTTACACAGCCAGTGAATTTACCGAGGATGAGGAGGAGCAACAAGAGCAAACGCTGTGGCCCAGGTGAGACGGCAGAAGACTTAGAAAAGCACACTACAGTCTCGTTTATAAACTGTCCTGTGTTTTTTTACTAGCTTCTTCCAAGTTGTATGCTTCCATCTAAGTGACACTTGGTAACGTAGCCGTTTTATTATCAGACTACATTACATAGTACATTTTTTTAAATAATGAGCACAATATAGATCCTGTTCATTGGATTAAATATACCGGGCTTCCTTGATTTGTGCTGTACTTGCATGTAGAGCTGCAATAGTTGTTTGATGAGTTAATTAGTGAGTCAACAGAGGATTATTCAGCACCTGTTAATGAAATTTCCCCATTGAGGGGTCAATAAAGTACCTACCTGTTTTTGTAATCAGTTAATAGTGTCATTTTTTTAAAAAGCTGAAATGCAGTAGTCCCATCTTCTTTAATATCAATACTCTGGTTTTCACTTGTCTGTTATGATGGTAAACAAAATAAAAAGCATCTAAAGATGTAGCCTTTGGCTATGGAAAGCTGATGGGAATTTGGACATGTGTGATTAACCTGCTCGCAAACTGACAGCTCCTACCACATGCACACAATAATCCATGTCATTAAATAGAAACTGTTCTCCTTCATGCTTACAGACCACTCGCTCAAAAATGGACCCTGATACTGTTTATCGGCACCTGCCTCCTCTACTGTGCCAGGATGGCCATGCCAATCTGCGTGGTCTCATTGGCAGCCACTTTTCACTGGAGTAAGACTGATTCTGGGCTGGTCCTGGGTGGATTCTTCTGGGGTTACTGTTTCACACAGATCCTGGGTGGGCATACCAGTGACAAGTAAGCAAACCACCTGGTACAGTTTTGTATTACCACTCACACATGGCTGTTGAACAACAAACCAATAACCTTTAGAGTGTAGTTGCTGTTGAGTTTGATTAAGAATCAAAGCTGTAAATGTTTGTTGTTGTAATAGAGTGGGAGGAGAGCGTGTCCTGTTGGTCTCCACAGCCTTGTGGGCTTTGGCCACCGCTGGCACTCCTCTTCTGGCCCAGCTTGGCTGTCACACTGTTGCTCTCCTGACTCTGGCCAGATTTCTTATGGGGCTGTTGCAGGGTGAGTACTGTGTGTTAGGATATGGAAATAAGCACTTCAAGGGAAATATGCATGTTCACATCCTTGCCCAGAGTTAAATGAGAAGAGCAGGTCTACTCTTGTAGCTGTAATCATAAAATAAAGCTACACATACTCCATATATTAGCTCTGCTGCAGTGTGTGAGCGTGAGAATGCATTGGTGACAACAGCACTGTATTAATGCAGTCATACAGACTAATACACATGTGAGTCATTTGACTTAAACAACATTGTTACTTAACTTGTTGGAGAAATTAGAGAACACACTTCTTACAAATTTGTCAAGATGATGTCTTGTGTTTTTCCAACCAACAGTCCAAAACTTAAAGCAGATTGAACTGACCAAGCTCATACTGTAGGTATTACATGAATTCAGAGGGCTTCATTTTGTCCTATAGGTGTTTTTTTCCCATCTTTGGCCAGCATTTGCTCACAGCGTGTAGTGGAAGGGGAGAGAGGGTTTTTAATGAGCACCATGAACAGCGGTAGTCATCTTGGGTATGTTGTACACACACACACACACACACACACACCAATCCACTCATAAATACACTATCTCTGGTGACACCTTCTGTTGCTCTTTCAGAACATTGTTAGCAGGTGGGATGGGGTCCCTGTTGCTGGATAGGTACGGCTGGGAGAGCATGTTTTACGGGACTGGTTTGCTGTCTGCACTCTGGGCACTCATTGTTTGGCAGTGTTTATTAAAAGGTACAGTAACTACAACCATGGGTTATTGCTTTTCTGTCTTAAATTACTCAGACATAGTATTGAAAAGGCCTTCGTCATGTTTGCCTCTATTTTTTAGCCACAGTAGCATTGTGGATTTATGCATGGCAGTGTAAGTTGGTCGATCAGATTGACGAACTGACATGAAATTCTCTGTAGATGTTCATTTGCCCAGAGGATGAATCCTACTCATTTTAGTGATCCCCTGACCTCTAGCGCCACCATGAGGTCTTTTGGTCTGAGTAAAATGTGGATTGTAATGAACTTTGGTACGCACATTAATGTCCTCTACAGATGAGGTCTAATTTATTTGGTCACCCCTGAGCTGTACTTTGTGTTTAATGCTAATTAGCAAATGTCAGCATGATAGCATGCTAAACTATGATGGTGAACATAGTTTGTTGGGTTTTTCTTTCATAATAATAATAATAATAATATGGTCTAAATCTTTGTAAAGTGTTTGTGGATGACCTTGCAATTTGGTGCTATACAAATAAAACTGAATTAAATTAAATATTATACCCTGCTAAATATCATCCTCATTGTACCTATGTTAGCATGCTGATGCTAGCATTTAGCTCCAGCACTGCTGTGCCAAAGTTACAGAACTAGTCAGTTTATGCCAGGGTGGCTGTAGACTGTTAGTCTTGTTTGTATCATCTTGCCAAGTGTTATCAGCACTGTCATAGTTACATGATGTGTGGTATTTCTACCTTCAGGTGAATGGACTCCCAAGCAGCTGAAAACAAGTAATGACTCACAGTGGAGTTTGTCTGGAAGGCGCTGGCTGGCTCTCCTTAAGAAGCCGTCTGTCTGGTATAGCTGAAATGTTCTTTAATCCTTCAGCATTTTTTTAACAGATGCTTGCAATACCAGTCTAACTTGTCACTGTTTCTGTGCCATCCTCTCTCTAAGGGCCATGGTCTTTGCTCATATGTGCGCAAGCAGCACTTTTTACACTTTATTGTCATGGTTGCCGACATATTTCAAAGAATCATTTCCCCATGCCACGGTATTTGTTTTCTCCATGTTGTATATATTTAGTCAATAATCACATCAGTTATTTAGGCTTTAAACAGTCTAAACCTGACTACACAGTTTAATAAAACTTGCCCCTCAACCTGTCTGTTCTTACAGGGATGGGTGTACAATGTAATCCCATGGCTTACTGCAATCCCATCAGCACTGGGTGGAGGATATGTTTCAGATTTTCTCATCAACAAAGGTATTAAAAGACAATGCCAGTATTGTATTGTGGTATGTCTGGGCCTTTCAATAAAAATGTTTACATCCTGTTTTTAATTTCTTCTGTAGGCTATAAAGTAGCATTTGTGAGAAAGATAATGCAGGTAAGTATGGAAAAACTGTTGTGGTTGTCCATGCATCTATTGTACAGTTGTCAGTTCAAATAAAAAACTGAATAATTGGGCGTGCAAAATTATTCAGCCCCTTTACTTTCAGTGCAGCAAACTCTCTCCAGAAGTTCAGTGAGGATCTCTGAATGATCCAATGTTGACCTAAATGACTAATGATGATAAATAGAATCCACCTGTGTGTAATCAAGTCTCCGTATAAATGCACCTGCACTGTGATAGTCTCAGAGGTCTGTTTAAAGCGCAGAGAGCATCATGAAGAACAAGGAACACACCAGGCAGGTCCGAGATACTGTTGTGGAGAAGTTTAAAGCCGGATTTGGATACAAAAAGATTTCCCAAGCTTTAAACATCCCAAGGAGCACTGTGCAAGTGATAATATTGAAATGGAAGGAGTATCAGACCACTGCAAATCTACCAAGACCTGGCCGTCCCTCTAAACTTTCAGCTCATACAAGGAGAAGACTGATCAGAGATGCAGCCAAGAGGCCCATGATCACTCTGGATGAACTGCAGAGATCTACAGCTGAGGTGGGAGACTCTGTCCATAGGACAACAATCAGTCGTATACTGCACAAATCTGGCCTTTATGGAAGAGTGGCAAGAAGAAAGCCATTTCTTAAAGATATCCATAAAAAGTGTCGTTTAAAGTTTGCCACAAGCCACCTGGGAGACGCACCAAACATGTGGAAGAAGGTGCTCTGGTCAGATGAAACCAAAATCGAACTTTTTGGCAACAATGCAAAACGTTATGTTTGGCGTAAAAGCAACACAGCTCATCACCCTGAACACACCATCCCCATTGTCAAACATGGTGGTGGCAGCATCATGGTTTGGGGCTGCTTTTCTTCAGCAGGGGCAGGGAAGATGGTTAAAATTGATGGGAAGATGGATGGAGCCAAATACAGGACCATTCTGGAAGGAAACCTGATGGAGTCTGCAACAGACCTGAGACTGGGACGGAGATTTGTCTTCCAACAAGACAATGATCCAAAACATAAAGCAAAATCTACAATGGAATGGTTCACAAATAAACATATCCAGGTGTTAGAATGGCCAAGTCAAAGTCCAGACCTGAATCCAATCGAGAATCTGTGGAAAGAACTGACAACTGCTGTTCACAAACGCTCTCCATCCAACCTCACTGAGCTCGAGCTGTTTTGCAAGGAGGCATGGGCAAAAATTTCAGTCTCTCGATGTGCAAAACTGATAGAGACATACCCCAAGCGATTTACAGCTGTAATCGCAGCAAAAGGTGGCGCTACAACGTATTAACTTAAGGGGGTTGAATAATTTTGCACGCCCAATTTTTCAGTTTTTTATTTGTTAAAAACGTTTGAAATATCCAATAAATTTCGTTCCACTTCATGATTGTGTCCCACTTGTTGTTGATTCTTCACAAAAAATTACAGTTTTATATCTTTATGTTTGAAGCCTGAAATGTGGCAAAAGGTCACAAAGTTCAAGGGGGCCGAATACTTTCGCAAGGCACTGTAAATAATATGCACATTCAGCAGTTGTTTTGGTATAGGTATATACAGTCTATGTGACAGCACTTTTGTTTGTACTGAAGAGGATCAGGGGCCACTGTAAAAACAGTATTTGAGTTCTGACTTTTTCCTCAGGATTCTGACTTTAAACTTAGAATTCTGAGTTTTTTAAAACTTAGCTTCAACCCTATAGAACAGTTCTGAGTTTAAAATCAGAATTATGACTTTTTTTTCTTTGAATTTTGTTTTTAATGCTACAGTTTGTAATTTAAGATAGCACCAGCATGAAAATCCAAACCATTCCACCCCGCTCTGCCCAGCGCTCCCTCTCCCTGCTCCATTACAATCTGCTACACTCCGCCACGCTCTGCCCACCTCTTCAAGATATTTGCCATTATGAAATTAAAATAAATGAGAATGCAACAGAACTTTCTAATCAAGCAGAAAAAAATAGAAAATTTCTGATTGGTCAGAGAGGTCAGTCCCACTCAAAACCTTTTAGAAGATAATATCTCCGCACTGCTGCCAGTGCTGTTCAATGAGTCTGGTTCACAGGAGGCTAGGACAGCTCCTCTCCACATTAAGACAAGTTTTGAAAAAGATTTATACATGAAAAATAAAAATAAAATAAAAAATATACTGTAAATAAAAAATGTGGCTTTAAAATCAGAATTTTGAGTTTAAAGTCTGAACTCAAATACATTTTTTCACAGCGGCCCGACTCCTCTTCTCTATGTTTGAGTCTAAATATTTTACATGCATGTCTTTTCTTCTCTTCACCAGTTTTTTGCCATGGGTGTGTCGAGTATATTTTACATGCTTTTGTGTAGAACAGTGACATTTACCTCCGCTGTGATTTTCGTCTCTGCTGCCATGGGTGTATCCACTTTCACCAGCGGGTGCGTTGAAATGATTCTGTGTGTGTGTTTAATAAACTGTTACAACCTGAAGTAATTCTTATGGAAATGAAATATAACATGACAAATACTGTGTTTCTGAAGCTGAAATATGCAAAAATATGACAGTATACACTGAGTTGTCAGTTTGTTGGGTACAACAAGTTAAAAGTCATGCAGTCTAACACAACAGTCCTGCAGTAACTGCAGTTTACTGACACGTGTTTCTTTTATTTTGTCCATAGTATTGTTTTCCATAATACCACACTATTTCTAATAATATATTCAGTAATCAGTCACATTTTTATGGTGTTGGAACTTTGTAAATAAAATTCAGCCTTGTTCACTGTGAATAAAAATCAGCCTGTTTCCTGTTCGTGTAATAAGTCTCGATCCTTTTCAGTGGTGTGTCTGTGAATGTACAGGATCTCACCCCGTCGTGTGCAGGCGCCCTATTTGGTGAGTTTCTAGCAGCCTACGTTTCGATTTCATAAATGTGTGCTAATCATAGTGTTTAATCCTTTAGACATTCTTGTTGATTTAATTGTTTAATCAATATTCCTTTTCTGCAACAGGTTTTATGAATATGTTGGGTGCTTTAATGGGTATGTATTGAATATGGTTTGTTGTTGTTTTGTAGTTTATAGGAAATATGTAGCTACCAAAACAATGTATCTGGAATTTATAAGATTTAAACTGTTTGTGAATCTGTATCTGAAACTTTAATATGTAAAGGTGTCATTGTTACCACATGCCGTTACTACCTGTCATACCTTTGACCTTATGTGTTGCGCAGGACTGGTGGTGGTTCTTCTGGCAGGCTACCTGATTGAGGTCACCCTGTCGTGGGCCACAGTCTTCTCCCTCGTCACTTTAGTAAACGCCACAGGTCTTGGGATCTTCCTGATCTTTGGAGATGCTCGTCGTGTTGACCTGGAAGATTACAGGCAGATAATTGTGATTTGACTCCGAACTTTTGTTGCAAAACCCAGTCTGTATCTGATTGCATGTATCACACTGGGTGTTAAGAGTAAAGCTCCGTCCACGGTCAGTCAAAAATCATTTAAATTAATTTTGTTTTTCTGAAACTGACAGCTAATTACACTGAAGCCATGTTATATAGTATGTCATTGTTTGGACATTCTGACATTTTGTCATTGTTTGGACAAGAGAACCACACTTTTGCTTATCATGGCTGTGTATGAAAATACTGTACATTTCCTTTTGAATTTGTTTTTGGAAAATGAAGGGACTTGTTATATTGTTGTATGTTTTTTTTTTTTTTGTTCTATTGTGCTTACTGTTAGCCAGACTGCATAAAACTGCTAATGTGAGCTGCATTGTACAAATGTTTATGACTCTGGATATTTACTGTAGAGAGCTTGTCTTTCAAATTGAAATATTTCAGGATTTTTCAAATTAGTGTTAAATCACTGATGTATTCCTGTGTACATGAGACTAGGTCTTAGCCGTTGTCACTTCTCCTACTCTCCACACTGACCCTGATAGAACATGAAATCAACCCATCATTTGGTAATAGCCTACTTACAGCAAAACCTAAATGATAGCTACAAGTTGCCCTGCCTTTGCCTCAGCCTGAGATCCTGAGCATGGTGGAGAAGGTTTTCATTCAGAATTGCTCTATATTTTTCTGCATCCCTCCCTCCCTCTATCCTGACGAGTCTCTCAGTCCCAGACTCAGAAAATCATCCCCACAGCCTGATGCTGACACCACCGTGTTTATAGGTATGGTAAGAGTGAGGTGATGTTTAGTGCCTGCTTTGCTCACCACACACTGTTGGGAAATGTGGCCAAATAGTTCCAACTTTGTTTCATTAGACCGGAGGATTTAGTTTATCATGGTCTCCGAGTCCTTCAGGTGTCTCTTGGCAAACTCCCAGTGGACTGGGTGGCCAAACCTGTGAGGACTGGTGGTTCCAGTTTTCTTCGATTTGAGGATGATGAATGGATGGAGGCTACCGTGCTCTTGGGGATTTTCAGAGCAGCAGGGATGCTATTATATCCTTCCCCAGATCTTGACACAATCCTGTCTCGCAGGGACAGTTCTCTTGCCCTCATGGCTTTGTTTTCACTCTGACATACACCATCAACTATGAGACCTTAGACACGTGTGTGCCTTTCTTAATTATATCCAATGCATTGAATTAGGCACAGGTTGACTCTAATCAAGCTGTAGAAGCATCTTGATGATTATTGATGGGAATAAGGTGCTGAATACTTATGTAAATGGGATATTTCAGTCTTTTATTTTTAATACATTTTAACTTTGTCATTGTATTGTGTGCAGACTAATGAGTAAAAAAAATCCATTTCAAGGTGAGTCTGAAACACAACCAAATGCAAAAGATCTCAAAGGGTCTGAATGCTTTCTGAATCCACTGGCCACTTTATTAGGTACACCTGTACAATTGTATGCACTTCGGTGCAACACTTCCCCCTTAACATCTGTGTTTATGAAGCCACAAATGGCTGAGTGGTGGTGGTTGTACTGCACTGCATTATATTCAAAGGTGTTCCTAATATTCTGACCCTCATGTATTTAGCTGGGCAGGACACCTGTGAATATAATACAGTCTAATAAAACACCACATTTAACTACGGTCTAAATAATAATAAATGACAGTTTATGACAGTTTCACCAAAAACGGAAAGCTTTGGAGCGTCAAACACGGGTGTACCTAATAAAGTGGCCGGTGGGTGTATATGACCATGAGAAGGGTTTAGCTGATTGCACCCTGAAGACCCGTGGTCAGACTTTGATGCACGGGATGGAGTTCCCCTTTAAGGATGCCATGTTCCCCAATATGTTTGTTAGCACAGAAATAACGCGGTTGCAGTGTGGGAAACCACAACTTAATAAATATTAGAGAAGGAGGCTGCAGGAAAGCTCCTGTACTGTGGAACAGAGCCGTGGATTCACCGCGGGGCCGGGGTCCGCAGCCCGGGCAGCGCATCCTGCCGCAGCCCGCAGTGCTTTTCCGTGCACAGAGATGGAAACAAAGCAATGCAGGTGGCAGCACATCCGACAGCCTACATCATATTAACCTGGTCCGCCAGAAGCTTTGAATGGGGGGCAGCATTCAGCGTGTGACAGCGAGGAATGCATCCACGTCATGACGTTATCGCTGTAGCTTAAGAGGACCGGGGCATGGAAGCCACACGCAAATCTGGATGGCTCGACGTAGAGAAGTGTCTGACATCCAGAAACCCGAGGAACAGTCGTTTGGACATGAAGGTCCGACACAGCTCTCCTGGCACATCATCTGACCCGACCGCCTGCCCGTGCGCGGTAGTATTGTTTGACCTGATTTACCTCCACGGATCCATCTCCCTTTAAATCACATAATGGTTTCACTGAAGAGGGTCAGCTGTAGGCCTGAAAATCAGCTGCCGTGTTGTGCAATGAAGGCATGCAGCTGCACACAACGGATCCGACCTGAGACACCGGACAGTACATTTTAGGCCGCACAAGAGGAGCTTTCATCTGTGCCATTACACCTCAAGGACAACAAGAGGAAGACTATTGTCTGATACAGGTTATATTTTTAATTGCTTGCACTGCAGCAGCGCCCAGGCCTATGAAGTCATGATTTTTGTTGGTGCGTCTTTTCTAGTGATGGCGAGATGCTCGTAAAGCTCCAACTCTCCTCGATAAGGGACAGGGTTGCCACTCGTCGTGTTCACGGCGGACCTTGATTTATTAGCCATACAATTAAGGCACGCGGTGAATGCCAAGAGAGGAATCCCACTCTTCACGTCGTGCATCATCATGAAGACGGAGAGTAAAACATCTGTAAAGAGAGAGAGAGAGAGCATCTGCCTGCGCTCACAAGAACAAAAACTGCCTGCTTTGACCAAAAATTGACCAAATATAGGCTTTTTTTCTAGGGCAAAATTAACATTTTCCATTTGGTATGGTGATAATTATTATTTTAATTACTGGGAAATGAGAGTTGTTTGTTTATGGTTGAATCTATTTAAATAATATAGTCCTGTGAAATCAGTGTGTGCCAGGTGATGACTGATGATTAAGTTACCAAACCTAATTTGCAGCTATTTTTGTAATGGATTCCTTGTTTCACTAAGCTTTAAAGATGTCAAATGTGTTCTGGTGCTGGCTTCTCACCGATGAGATGGAAACCTTTCTTTTTAATATCGTTTTAATTTGGACATCTGTGGGTTTTTGGACTGTCGGTCAGACAAAATAGTACATTTGAAGAAATCATCAGAGGTTATGAAAAATCTAAGTTGAGATTTTTTTTTCTTCGCTATGTTTTTGATATTTCATATAAACAAGTCAAAGAGCAGTTACTTATAGTTTAGTTGATACTTACAGTAATTGTTAGATGCAGTGCTGGTGTTTCAAATATTCTGCTTGCAATGCTGTGAAAGTGAGAAAACCAAATCCTCATAATGAAGAAGCTTCATCCAGAGAATGTTTGGGATTTTTGTCAATAAATTACGTTTTTGACATTTATTTTTATGTTATTGACTAACTGGTTGGTCAACTAATTGTTCCAGCTCTAAAATGTCCATCTATATACATAGTTGTATTTCAGAGGAAAATAAATGCAAACAGCATATAGAAAGTAGTATGACATTGATTTCTGGTACAGGATGTTTATTGTCACAGTAACGGAACCAATACCAGCTAGGACAGAGTTCCCAGTAATGTGAAGTGTCCAGAATAGTTTATTGATTGTTGTTATGAAAATAAACATGCAGGGATATGTATGTGGTTTATCCTATGGCCCAGCGGCACCAGGTCTGAGATCGATTACAGTGCTTGAGAATTAGACAAATCATTTCTAAAAAGCTTTCACATCCAATATAAGCCAACATTAAATGATGCCATAAATTAGATTATTAAATAACTGTGATTAACTGGGTAATAAACTGAAGTAAGTGGAGGCAATATAGTTCCAAAGTACCTCAAAATGATTTTGAAGACATCTTCCTTCATGTAAACAATGAGGTTCAGTCATGGGCCACTTTCTACAGTAGGTTTGCAGTATGCTTTGTTTGTTTGAGTGTTGTACTGACTGATTAATGGATCCATCAAACTATTTGGAATTGTTCCTGAGGACAGATGCCATTTTCCCATTTTTAAGTTTACACAACAATCACTTATGAACATGAATGTTTGTTCTGTATTTGGCCACGAGATGTAGCTGAATTAGCTGCTTTATGGATAAATAAAAGCCCTGTGCTTGTTGTAGAGCCACTCAGCTTTTTGCTGACCGCTGATACGGCCATTTGACATTTAGTAAAGGGATTTGTTCTAAAAATATAAATGTGCTGTGTCCTGTTCTAAGAGACAAGATGAGCTAAACTGTGAACAGTCACAAGTGAAGGGTCTGCACACCTGTACAGCTTTGTGGGTCAGGTTGTGTGAGCTGTCACCTCCTGGGAAGAAAAACAGGAGCAGGAGCAGGAGCGCAGCAGAACATCCCTCCTCCTGAAACCCCCACTCGATTCTCCTTCCTACCTTACCCACCCATTCCTACCCTTCACTCTGACTCAATCCTGAAAATAAACCCTCACCCTTTCCTTCTTTTCATATATTACATACGTGTATATATACATGTAAGTTGTTGAACTCATATTTACTTCCCCCAGTTTATAACTTATTGTGATGTTAAATATTTGGAAATGTTTTATTGTAGTATACAGTACAGAAATAGGAATGGGAAAAAAAATCTTACACAGTGATGTGCAAAACAATCTCCCCACTCTGAGGGCATACGCTTTATTGATATCTGGAACTTCAAACGTTCACTAAATGTAATGTTACGGCTTTCAGTCCGATTATGCAAATTTTTTTTTTCCTGTCTTGGAGAAAAAAAGTGGCGGGTGAACCCGGGTGGTTGGGGAAACACTATATAACAATGCAGCGTACCCTGCCACTGCACTACCCTCATCGCCACAAACACACTATGTCTATTTGATTGTTTGCTAAAAACTAGTGTCCAGATGTTTAAGGATGTTGATGCCTTTTATAATATACACATTAGACCGAGCAGGAAGCAACACATTGTTGATTTTGGTCTCTTAAAGGAATTTGTTGAAGAAAAATATAAATACCAGAAATAAACTTTATTAACTAAGGTGAAAAAATTCAGCCTTTAAGGAAAAGGGAGGCTGACGCCAAAACAAGTGTTGAGACTAGAACAACTAACATCTTATTTGACAAAGGAATCAAAAGAAGTGTTCCAGAGAAGCCATGATAATCTTTGGCCTATTTTTGTTGCAAAGACCTTTAAAGCAAATAAGTCATTATGGACCATATAAAAAAACAAACAAATTTCACTTGATCATGTGCAAAATCCTCATCATGATAAAAAAAAAACTACAACAACAAACAGATAAGTATATCTTTAATAATAAACATGATAAAATCTAAGAATGTGATAGTGACCTCTGATACAATGGCTGTTTAATTCAGGGGTGACTTAAAACTTTTTTTGCATAAATTTTCTATATTCCAATATTGTTATATAACTCTGATTGCACCACAATCATACTCCCTCTCTTTTCTTTCACTCTTGCACACACACGCGCACACACACACACACAATACAGCAAGCAATAAAAAAAAAAGTCACAAACGTATACCATATAGGCTAGTCTCTGGGTTTTCATACACTTGACAATAAATCAGTTAAGTATAATGCTACAGTTTACATTTTGAGGCGATCTCAGTTAGAAATGCCGGTACATTAAAGCTTACATTGTCTGAGGATGATGTGGACGGCTTATAGCAATGAGAGTGATGAAAATGCCAAGATTATAATGATTCTAAAACAAGTAACAAAAAAAAGAGTGACAGGCCTGGCTTGAGTTTTAAAAGCAGTACATGCTACATCACCTACATAAATTCATCAACAGAGACACCTGTTGGAACAGCAGGGAACAAAGGGGAATAAAGAAACAGGCAAAGCAAAGTGTGTTGATCAAAACCTCATACCGTATATTTGTGTTTCCACCCTTGAAATAAGAAAGAGAGGGGCCGCCTTTAAGAGTGTTTGATCTCTAGCCATCTTTTCGTTGAAACTCTATATGAAAACTCTGAGGTACAGTACAGGGGGACAAAATGAAAGGTTTCATCTACTCTACTGCTGAAAAGAAAGGTTAAGGCTCCACACTGGAGACAAACAACGTCCCACATGTTCTCTTAAATCAGCTGTAAACCAGGTGGTACATTATTCATAATAGTTTTCTGACAGTTATGCTTTCTAATGTCACATCCTGGCATGATTATGTTTATGCATACAGAAGCTTTCAGTGTACACATTCCTTCACCGGAGTAAGACATCCCTCACATGAACAAAGGGAGAATTATACAAGCTCGTTTTTCTTCTGAAAACACAACTGGCCTCACACAGATAGCAGACAACTTGTCAATAAAGTGTTGTTCACTCGTTAAGATTAACCATTACAATCACTTAACATTTCTCCAACACACAAACCACAAAGTGAACAGTCACTGAATATCAGCAGCATGTTGTCAAGAGATTTTCAAAACAGACGTGCAGATATTTATATTTAGTAAAGAATGCAAGTTCTTGGATAGCGATAAAGATTTAAAAGGCTAAAAAATACAGAAACAACAAGAAAATATAGATTATTGAAGCAATTCAAATGGTGGAACTGTTTTTTTTCCCTGCACACATCTTAAAGTTTGGGGAACCAGGAGTTTGACATGGGCCAAAGTCACCAAAATTAAATAGAAAAAAGTATTAGTTTTGAATTTCTTTGTCCTTCCTCGACCGCTGGTTGAGCTTTTAGAAGCCATCTTCTACTGTTCACTTTTGACGATCCTGAACAGAAAGAGAATAAAAGGAAGAAATCGTATATGATCAATCGGTGTCATATCAGACACCAGTCATATTACAAGGCAACGCTGTGCAACTGTTATAGCAGTAACAAGTCTTAATTCCCCAAAAGAGACCCAGAGTAGGTTATCACTGACTGACAAACAGAATTACACTGTGATCATTTGATCATATTATTTGATCCTTTTACACAATTCTACCATTTTCTGTGGTGTAAACTTCAATTTGATGATTTTAGATTTGTGGTTTCGTACACATTTGCCCTACTGCGATATAGAGAAGGTGACAACTGAAAGGAAAGCCCAACAAAGTGTCTCAGTGAGGTGCTGGGCCACCACGTGAATCCAGAACAGCTTCAGTGCTCCTTGACATTGACTCTCCAGGTCTCTGCACTCTCCTGGAGGGATGAACCCCGGTCTTCCAACAGATGTTCCCTCATGTGGTGTTTTGATGATGGCGGTGGAGACGCTGTCTGCCACATCGCTCTAACATCTCCCATAGGTTCAACTGGGTTGAGACCTGGTGACTGTGAAGACCACATGACACACATCATGTTCATCCTCATCAAACCACTCGGTGACCCCTCATGCCCTATGGACGGGGGCACTGTCATCCTGGAGGAGACCACTAATCTATTCAGGCTCTTCTTTTCATTTGTCACCATCTGTACATCATTACAGCCAACAATAATCATTTTAACATTCTCATGTCAGCCCAAACAAAAAAGATGGAATAAAAAAAATAAAAAACAACTGACTTTACCTGATCGATTCGGGATCGGCTCTGTATTGAGGAGGGTTCATAGCTCTGTTCAAAAAAATATGCAACAGCCTTAGTGGAAAGTCACACTAATACAAATCTAATCACTTTTAATCGCACAATATTCAAATATTTCATCAGTGAACTTTCCACTCATTTAAAATCAATGAGCACTATAAACAAAATAGTCGAATGAATGAAAACCACTTTACATATAAGAGAATACTGAACAGGGGTATTATTAGGTGAACGCTTGTTTTTCTTAACCCACAATTATATTTATTTCCATATTCCCTCATTTATTACAGTAAAACGTCCAAAGTTACATCAAGAAGTTGGGTCATTAAGGTGTTTTGACAGCAGTGCTGTCTCTTTAGCAGAGATGTATTTTCCTCTTCACAAATAAGTAGAACAGCTCCCACCTACATCTGGTTATGCAGCTTAGAATTACGTAAATGGTTTAATTATTAGGTAACATCTTCAGATGCAATTCATACTAATCTTTATTATTTGGAATCCAAGATGATGCAAAAATATTTCAGAGCAAGAACATCAGCAGCTTCATTTACCGTGCTGTTTACCATTTACTTTGAAGGAGCATACTGGTGTGCACACTTTTATATTTGACTAAGATATTAAACATTTTAGTTGAGACCCATCATTTTTAATTATATAAATAACTGTTCCAGTTTAATACTGTTATATTATTGTGAAATATATTTAAGTCAAGAGGGTCCAAAAAATACGCACACTTTCATACAGTCTCTAAATCTATTATTTTATCTAATGCTGAAGTGCTGTGTGTCAAGTCTAAAGGGACCTCGTACCTTTTTCACCACCTCCTCCTCCTCCTGCTTCTTCTCATAGTGGGAAAAGTCATCAAAGATGGAGGTGGTGTGTTTGTACTGGGCGATAATCTTGAGCACCTGCTTTGCCTTTTCCAGAGGAACCTCTTGAGTGTCACGCGAGTTGGTGACTGGCTTGTTGTCGTTGTTCTCCAGGCGGATGTGGCGCAGCTGGCTGTTAGGCACGTCCTTCACAAACAACCAGTTCACATCAAACTTGCCCTTCCACTTGTCCTGTGCCCAAACGCCAGCGCTGGTGCCATAGTCCACAGGGGAACGCATCTCCGCCACACCACAGAAGTGACCGCTGCCGTTGACACTGAACAACAAGTACACGGGACCTTTAGCGTTCATCGCCCTGTAGGCTGAGTCCAAACGCTTGTTGCCATGCTCCGTGCTGCACCAGATAGAGTACTTGATGGAGCGGTGGATGTCATCCTCAGAGTAGCTTTTGATGATGAACACACGGCCGTTCTTCAGGTTCCAGTCAAAGTCCTTGGGGTTGTAGCTGTGGGCTGCTCGCAGCTTCTCCAGCACAGGGTGGGACTCTGATCCCAGCTCTGGAAGCATACCTCCAACCCCTGCACCTCCATTACCAACACCACCACCATTGGAGGACCCGCTGCTGTCCATGCTTCCACCACCATAACATAAGCTTCGATTGCGTGGAGCTATCCATCGGGTCTGCGGCATTGGAGTGGAGTTGTGGTTCTGGTAAGACTGAGGAGGAGGTGGAGGACCCTGCATGGTCATCTGCTGCACGAGGGACTGGGCAGACTGAAGGGACTGCTGAAGGGGAGGAAGGAGACTGGGAGCATGGGAGTGCAGCTGAGGCTGGTGCTGTTGGTGTTGGTGGTGGTGGTGGTGGTGGAGGGGGGGCAAAGGAGGGGCCATCTTGGGGGCAGTCCCTTTATTATCCCATGTGTCAATGTCCATGTTGTGTTTAATGGCAGCTGGAGGCAGAGCTCCACTTATGGGTATGCTAGACTTGTTCTTGGTCTTTTGCTGCTGCTGCTTGGCAGGTTTACTAGCAATAGCAGCCCACGATGTAGGTTTCGGAGGGGGCATTCCAATCGGTGTGCTGCCGTTGCCTGTGGCAACAGCTGCAGCTAGACTGCCACCTCCACCAATCACAGAGCCTGCACTCTTCACACTTGAGCCACTTCCTGTCACATCCCCGCCTAATTTTAGACCCAGCATGCCCTGCTCTAGGCTGTTCATACCTGGAGCCTTGCTTAAGGTGTCACTGTGGAAACCTGTCTGGCCATCAGGGACTAAGGTGCCTCCTAAAGAGCTGGGTGGGTAGCTGTAACTTCCCCCATAGGCTGAGCTCTGAGTCTGCTGGCCCTGAGAACCACTGGTGCCCCAAGCAGAGAAGGCCGGGTTCTCTGGGAAGAAGTTAAACCTGTGAGGATAGATGCTGCTGCTGAGCCCACCTGGCTGCCCAAACACTGTGTCGTGCATGAAGTGATGGTCTCCATTGCTGAGGGGGGTATAGGGTGTTAGATAGGGAATTGGTGGGTCACCTCCTGTAGACCATGGAGCCTCACTGAGAGGGTAAGGAAATCCAATGGAGGGGGCATAGTAGCTGGACAGGTAAGGGTCTGTCATGGACTGATAGCTGTTATTCTGCAAACAGAACAGAACTAGGTCATTTGTTATTGCAACAACATGAAATAAAACAGATACTGAATGATTAAAATTCTGACATGTTTCCCACCTGACCGGACTGGCTGGGGAGATAGGGCTCAAAGTCACTGTCGTGGACTGTGTCCTTCTGGTGGAGGGAGCCATTCTGCACAGAAACTGGAAAAGCTACAATAAAGTGAAACTGCTGTCAAAGCTGCACATTAAAACAGTTCCAAACAACCTAATGATGCAAAGTCTATTACTAAGCCTAAAAATACAAAAAAAAAATCTGCAATGTATATGATGTTTATAAACCCTGTAGTTAACACTGATGCAAACAAAGCATATGTTCTGCACTAGTACTAATAACTTGTCCATAACATTTCAGCAGCTGTGCATCACCAGTACCTACAACTAAAGCTATAGGAATGGAATTTACAAAAAAAAAAGAGAGACTCCCATGGGTGATGAACATGAACTAAGTTGTTGTACAGACAAATTGTCCTAGTGACGCAGAGTGGTGGACCGACTTTTTAAAATGTGGAAGGTGTTTCACAGAGTTACAAACACACATGGCTCACACTATGTAATGATGCAAAGATATCCAAATATAAATCCTTTTTATATACTTTTGGAGTTTTTGTTGGCTTATTGGCAACAATAATACATGAGTCAGTTATATTAGATACAGTACTGGTCAAAATCTGTTTAGATTCTTATCCCTCATGCAAAACCATCAGGGAGGTTAGTGTGATCAGTCCTAACTTTATTCTGCAGCATGACAAGTAGCACAAACATGCAGCCAGTCAGAGGAAACTTTTATTAATAACAAGAAGAACAAGGACTCCTGGAACTAATGACACAGACCCTCTAATCTGGCCATTGTACAGTCAGTGTGGGAGAACTGGAAGAATGGTGACAAGTTCTCCAAGATACAGGGAAGAACCTTCCTTCTGAGTAGATTGAACAACTGTGTGGAGGTGCATCTTGGAGAACTGGTGCTGTTTAAAGGTAAAAGGATGGTCACACCAGATATAGGTCTGGTTTAGGCTTTTTCTGTTTACAGCACTTTGTGTGAACTTATTAAGTGATAAATAAAACAAAAACATTAATGGCATCTTCACTTTAATTTCAGTAAACTTTTGATCAGTGCTGTATAGGGTACCAGGTGACAGTTACAGTATGTACAAAGCTGCTCACGGTGCTATACTGGTTTACACTGGTGACACTTTGGGCACAGAACATCGACACTGGTTTTCTCTTACCTTTGCTTGCATCTTGTCCTTTCGATGTCTTAGTGGTCATGTTGAAAAGGTTGCATGTGAAAAGAAGAAAACAGAAAACCGTGCATTGGTCACGAATGTTAAACATAACATCACACACTGTCCTAGCCAGATAGTGACATGTACTAAATTCCAGTGAAACCAGTGACTGACACACAGAAGCCATCAGCGCTGAACAGTGTACTGCTATGGCAACGTCCGCCGGTAATACACCCACTGGGGGCTGTGGTCCAGGCCTTCATTAGTTACCAGCAAAGAG